TCCGCCCAATACTGGACTTAAAATTTTTAAACAGATTTCTTGCATGTGTCAGACAATTTCTGGGGAATGCCTGGCATCAATAGACATGCACGATGTAGATCTACACATTCTCATCTTCCTCCTACATCAATGCTTTCTGCAGTTTGCTGTGGGAGACCCAACACTTTCAATCTGTCGCACTACCATTGGAGCTCTTTTCTGTACCTCAAGTTTTCACAAAATTGCTTGACCTGCTGTTGACTCTTCTATGAATCTAGGGCATACATATCCACAGGTTATCTGGATGACCTCCTACTGAACGACTTCTCAGCCACAACCTTGGCTGCCAACATCCAGAGGACATTTCAGTACATTCAGACCTTTGGCTGGATGATCAACCTTCCAGAGTCTGCTATCCAGTCTTCACACTGTTTGCAGTACCTGAGTAAAATCTTGGACAGAGCCCAAGCCAGAATTTTTGTTCCTCAAGAGAAAATTTGCTTCTCTAAGATCTTACATGAGGACCTGGTTCTGGGCTTGATGGTAGCCCCCTTCAAGACTGTTCCCTTTGCTCAGTTCCACTCCAAACCTCTTCAATCCAACATACTCATGGTATGAATAAAACAGATCCAGTCCTTGGATCGCCCAGTCCTTCTGTCCAGTCAAAGCTCTCCTTTACATAATGGATCACCAATCCTTCCCTTGAGTTGGAAAAGTCTTCCTTTCATATTTCCTGGTGACAATAGTTGCCAGCCTTACAGCCTGGGGTAGAGTTTACAGTTTTCTGACTGGTCCCCCACTGTTGAAAGCCCTGAAGTATAGGGGATTTATAACTTTGTTAGCACCTTACTCGGAGAAAGAAAATTCAATGTATTTCAGCCTTTATTCAGTCTGGTCTGGACCAGTGATGGATCAGGGCCTCATTTCCAGGGCATAGGCCCTTAAAGTGGTAGTAAACTTATTTTTTTTTATTTTACCTACAGGTAAGCTTATAATAAAGCTTACTTGTAGGTAAACTTAATATCTCCTAAAAGTGCACTATTTAGGAGACATTCTCTTTTTTCCTAATGCCGGTGCATGCCCTCTGAAGGAACGGCATACTCGTGCCATTCCTTCAGAGCTGTGTACTGTGCGCATGCAAGTGATGTCATCGCAGCCTGGCCTGTCAGATGGCAGGAGATTGGGAACCTGGATGAAGGACCGGGTAAAGATGGAAGCCTCTGTAGCAGTATGGGCTTCGTTTTAAGGTAGGTCCTTCATAATGTGTTAGTATGTGATGCATACTAGCACATTATGACATTGCCTTGCAGGGGACTTTTTTTTTTCTTTCTTGTGGTTTACTACGGCTTTAAGGAAAGGGTTACATCAGAGCCTATTTCATTTGCACTGTAGGTGTTTCTTGGGCTTTCCAACATTAAGCATCTGCTTCGCAGATTTGCAAGGCTACCACCTGGTCCAGTGTTCTCATTCTCCAGGTGGATGTTCAGGCCTTGGCTGGTGCAAGCTTTGAATGCAAGAGGTGTCAGGTTGTTTTCTGGGTGTCTTTGTTCAGGTTCTTTAACCCTTGTTTTCTTGTGGACCTGTTAGCAGTTCTGTTGTTGCCCACCCTCATATTAGGTGTTTGGGTATATCCCATGGTCTATGAACATGTTCTGTACTGTATGATTAAGATAACAGGAATTTTGGCATACCTGTCATACCCTTATCTTGGAGTACATTACATGACTTAAGCCCCTCTCTGTGTTATAATCACCCCTTATTTCTTGCTATAAAAAAAAATTGGAGTCTCCCTAGTGTCCATTCACCTGTAGGTATCTCCATATAACCCATGGTCTATGATTACAAGTCCTGTGTCCCGTACTGTACTCTAAGATAAATATTTTCCTGAGCCTAGATTTCAGCAATAATGCAGTTCCATGCTTTAGTACATTGTTTTGTAATTTGCTTATTTATTCTTGTTTTTGCTGCATTTAGATGTGTTGTTTACATGAAAACACATATAAGCATGCAAAATAAAAATAAAAAGTTAAAAAAATGTATTCTTATTTTACAGTTTAAGAAAATATTCATATGCCATAGTGAAGAACCAGTACATAGGAAGTGACTTTCCTTGGGCTCACTTTTCCCTTGTTGTTGAATATGACTGCACTGATGTCTGGCTAAAGCTGTGTCAGGACCTGAATGTTCCACACATAACCCTAAAAAGCCAACTGCCAGATCCTTCTGTAATGGGTAAGTAATATTACACCTACCCAGATAAGGAAAGAAAAAATAATTTACCATCTCTTAGATTGTAAGCTTTAACGAGCAGGGCCCTCTGTTTCCTTTTGTACCAAATTGTATTGTAACTGTAATGTCGTTTTGAAAAGCGCTGCGCAAACTGTTGGCTCTATCTAAAGCCTGTATTATAAAATTAATAATTACTTTAGTACGATTACATGTAACTATCAGAAAATATAACTTTGCATGGACATAGCTGTCCTTAGATAGCCTTTTTCAACACCAATTGTGTAATGTGCAATAGATAGGGCCGGTTCACATCATAATGCTTGGGCTTTACATCAAATGAATGGGATGTCAAAACTGACCACATCATGAACCAGCCCTTACACAAATAGAAGCATGAGCACTAAAACAGAGCCAGATGAGTGACCTAACGTGTTCATAAATGTAATTATACATATAATTAAACAAAATTGCATGCAAATGTTTACATTATGTTGTTGTTACTGTTAACCATTTGTGTTTCTAATATATTTAGCAGTGTAAAAAGAGGGAGACAGTTGTCCAACACTTCCATTAGAAGCTAAAAAAAATATTTTCTTAAAGCCATGAGATAAAATAAGGTTTTGGTAAGAAGGAGCACATGAGAAATTTCTTTACTAATGCTAAGTACTTTCTATAATCAACATTTCTTCTTTGAAGAAAACCTCTCAAACTACCCACTTTGCAAGAGCTTCTTGGTCACAGGAATGACTGTATAGTATGGTAAATTCCACAAAAATGTTTTAACATGCCATAAGAAACAGAATTTTTTCACAATGTCTTGAGGAAGAATTGTTCCAGACAATCTTTTGCCTATAGCCATTAATTTGGTTCTAGTGCTGCAAGACTACATTGGATATTTTTTTTACAAGATCATAGGATGTTTTATTCATTTTTTCATAATGCTTATTGTTGTGCTTATTATTTTTGTATTTTTTTAGAGACCTCAGTATACTGTGAAGAAGAGCTTCTGATACACATTCAAATTCCTTATGTTTTCCTGTCATCAGAAGGACTTACAAACAACCCAGAGATACTGCATCTGCTTGAGTCAAGGTAAAACTAAGATACTGCATAATGAGCTATATGTAAATAAGAAAGTTGAAATCAAATTTGTTACAGGTAAAATGCACATGTTAATTTCAGTGTAAGTGCTTATGCACAACCAAGCATTTGAATTTCTCCTCTGAATGCCTTTTACTCCCAGCAGGAAAAAGCAGCTTACAAAGCACCTACATTATGTATTGCACATGCATTTAGGTGCATCAAGCATTTGAGTGTTTATGGATTCCAGTGTTAATTTATTGTGGCCATCGGAATGAATGAACACTCAAGCGCTAAATGCATCCAGCATTTAGGTGTGTTTAGACACGTTTACATGTCCCAAGCCTTTTTTTCTGCCCCAAAGCTCCTCTCCTGAATGTGATGGTGATGGGTTTATTTTCAGGCTGTAAATGCTCCTTTTCTAATATGCCTGTAAATGCTCATTTGTGCATGAACACATAGACCAACATAGAGGTGATTTTACAGGCTGGAAAAAAGTCAAACCCTTTTAAATGAGATGTTTTTTAAGCCCTGTATGCATGAGCCCTAAATAGCAATGCCTTACATTGAGGTCTGCATTCCATATTTCTTTGATGTTGAAGTCTTGCTGCATTACAAAGAAGCCCTGTTTAAACATAATTGTTTATATTCAAAGCTGGAAGAATGTATTAGACTTCACTAAGCATGTATTTGAAACCGTGGGAATATTTTTTTATGTATTACTTATTACGCTTCCTGATCAGGTCTGCTTGTCAGTTTTTTAGGTGGACTTCATAGGAAGTGACATGTCCAAGTCACCTCCAAGTCCACCCAGCTCCAGAAAAAACACTTTCCAGGCCAGACTACAGACTACATGTCCAAGACCTCCAAGTCCACCCAGGTCCAGAAAAAACACTTTCCAGGCTCTTTGTCAGCTCTGTTCACAAGGAGATTCGGAGCTGACAATAATGACCATCCTTGATATCAACACAGATTCTGGTACTTCACCATCTGTATGCAAAAATATGTTTAATGATTTTATAATGAATCCTTGACTGAATTGAATGATTGCATTATATATCTGCCCTGAGTTCAGTTTTAACATGTAATGATAAGGAAATCCATGTTGAAAACTTCTTACCATGGTTGAATGATGGTACGTGTTTCAGGTGTAGGATCTGTCAGCATACAAATGGTTATCTTTGTGAATCCAAGATTTAACTCTTTAATAATAAACTTAGTACCAAAACAGAGGGGTTGTCAAAAACAGTTGCAATATTCTACATCACTACTTTTCTGTAGTGAATACACTACTCTGTCATCTCAATGCCTACTCTCACATAAAAAAAAACCAAAGATTGAATTTTTAGTTAAATGTAACGCCAGATAGAAATTGTCATCTTACTCTTGTGTACTGTTCGTTTAAACTAATTCATGAGTGTACAGCATGGACTTTCACTCTTGTTGTTATTTCATTAGCTTGATTTGATTTGTTGCAGGTATAATATGACATTTATTGAAAGGGAGTGCAGTCCTTCTCTGCAGCTATTTGGAAAGACTAGCCACTGTGCTGTGATCACTGTAGATGAGTCCATTGTCATCATACTGCAGGTATACCATTATTGTTAAAGCAGAGATCATATTTAAGTATTAAAGCCTGTTCTTATTCCTCTAGTTTCCTACAGGGAGATACAGTATTTGTACTTAAAGTCTTACTAAACCCAGGACCCTACATTCACTCTGTCTGGTTTCCCACAGTACAAAAAACATGGAAGTGCAATTATTTTAGTAAATATCAACTGTTAAATACCGTTACGCATCAGCAGTTAGAGCAGTCTTGTGACTTCTATCAGTGTCCAACAGAGCACATGTTAAAACTTGTAGGTTGAGTTTTCTTTCTGCTCTAGGAGGATAAAATCCCCTGACATCTGTCTGGACAGTGCTGATTGGCCTTGTGCTGATTACATGCACTCTCCCAAGAAAGAAAAAATCCCTCTGTAGCAAAACACACTAAACTGAGCATGTGCAGAGTGTCTCCAAACCATATGTCTTATCAGGAGACAAGAGGGAGACAGTGGAAGAAGGGGAGTATGAGAGAAGTCAGGATCAATCAGCCTTTTTATGCAATTCAGAGGATTAACCCCTTAGGTTCCAGAGTGAGTATAACAAGCATGCTTTACTGCATATACAGACTGATTTTACTGTTGTGAGTTTAGTAACACTTTAAGTTCCCAGATCTACACATCTGCTACTAATACCAATCAGCTCTGTCCAGACAGAGGTCAGGGGTCCTGCATCTTTTGACAGGAAAATTAAAGCTCCTCCTACAAGCTGTAACCAGTGCTGTGCTGGACACTGATAGAAGTCATAAGACTGCTATATACTGCTGATGAGGAAAGGTATTTAACAGTTTATATTTACTAAAATAACTGCACTTCCATGTTCTGTGTAATGTGGGAGACCAGATATAGTGAATGCAGGGTCATGGGTTTAGTAACACTTTAATGTCTGCATTTTAGTCCCAAGCATTGTATGATTTTTCTAGTGCAGTCTCAGCTGGCCACTGAAAGGTGTGGAATTTGAAGATGTTACCAGAATATGTATTTAAATGTTCACAGGAAAATCTAATTTCAATCTGTCAGGATAGCCAGAAAATTTGCATCTGGCTGAAGGATGGCAGCATTTCTACTTTCCTTTCAAAACTGTAATTACTGTTTTTTCCATCCATATTAAAGTGTGGCTTATAGCCCACCGGAAATTAATATTTGACTCAAATTAAAATTTATTAATGTTGTTAAATGTTTTGCCTATAAAGGTAGCATGGTTTCCAGTCATCAGTGTTGTGTAGAATCCTTCTATGATAATAATTATTTTTCTAATGGCTATTGACATGTGAAAGTATATCAATATATTCTAGGAACAGCAACCCACATAGGTGTGCTACAATAAAACAAAAAAAAAAAGTTTCCAAAGGAAACATCAAATGAATTACATGTGTAAAACGGTGAATAAAAGATTTAGGAATTACTAATACCACCTGTATATTAAGCTGTCTTGTGCACAATGTATGTAAGACCTCTTTGCCATTATTGGCAAAGTAATTTCAGGTCTCAAAGTTCACCGCTGTTGTGCCGGTGCTGCAATTTACCAGTTTGAATGCCTGTGGTGAGTGTTTATGATGCTAGTTTGTTTCATTTGAGCACGGCAAGATTTTACTTTTCAAAATATATTTTATAGACATATTAGTATACAGTATTAAAGTGAAGTGTAAGATTTAAAAAACAGTCATACTTACATAGGTAGATGCAGCATCAATCAGATGGTGTATCTATCCCCTGCCACCTCTAAGACTACTGATTGCTCAGTTCATGGTCCTCAGTGAGCAAAATGACTGTCTCAACAGCACATTGAGTGACGTTGGGTGGATCCTGACATTAAAGTTGGGATCCCTCCAGAGTCTGGACCAGCTGAGTGATATCAGCCAACAGCGGACTTTAGCCCCCTGTCAGCCAAATACAGTTCATAGGAGTTCAGAACTGAGTGCACTCCTGTGACCCACAGGAGAGTAGGGCCAATAGAGCCCAACTTTTCCTTTAAGTAGAAGTTGCCCTAGCAGCATTCATTATGGATGATGGAGTGCCCTATACAGTATGCTTCTATCATCAGATTAATCAAGCAAGAAACCAAAAAAATTAGCACACCGACTGTGTATCAAATTATGCATACAAGACAATCTTTTTGACCGGTACATAAACATTGCATAGAACGTTTGAATTGGTGATTATTGTATCTTGCCACGTTATTGTATTTGGGTCATTGAATTTAAATGATTTTGTGTATTAGTGGATTTATAAAGATTTTTTGGTTTTGTACCTTGTATGTTGATGTAGCAATTTTTTTTTGTCATTTAATAGCAGATTCAATTTGCAAAGCTTTAGGACAAGAATAAAAAACAACAAAATCAGAATGCGCTTATATCATATATCGTACAAAACTGTGCAAAGATTATAAATATATATTGTAAAAAAGAAACCCCAGTGAATCTCAACATAAATTGTTCATATACAAAAGTCCAAAATCCCAAATTATTTCTTCTTAAATCAAATAAATCCACCGTGCTCAATCCACCACCAGATGAATGGAATAAACTCACCAGAGCTAGATGCTGATCAAATTATAAATCAGCACAAGCGTATTTGCTCTGGGAGCGATGAAAAAATCCAAGGAAACACCCTCTTGTAATTAGAAATCCAGGCACCAGGAGCAATACTCCGCAACCACTCTACGATATGGCCAGGACTTTTTATACAGCGGTCATCCTCCAAACACATGATAGTATCACTCCAAAATAAAGAAAAGGCATGATGGTGCAGTACGTAAAAACTATGTATGTTTATTTAAAATTCATATTACTCACAAAGCAAGTGTCCACCTGACACTGGTATAACAAGCGATAGAGATGCACAAAAGCATGTAACGAACGAACGAACTCCGTTCACTGCGGACACCTCGCCGACAGTTGCCGGGAACGTCCTGACGTCATCCAATAGGCTCCGCCCTACGCGTTTCGTCACACTGACGTCCTCACGGAGCGGCATGGATTCAGACGTCAATTCCATTCATATATATACCGCTCGCACTCTGCACAGCGGTATTTCTTTATCCAATCACAGCGGCGCTATAATGATATACCGCCGCTCAATTGGCAAAGATACAATTATATCACAAATCCTACAATCACATATATCCGATATTTGTTTTAACATATAAACTACATATTAAAAATATATATTAAAAAGGAATGAACTATATTTTATATCAAATCATTATCTGAAAATGACTAATCACTTAATCATGAGCTTTATAAAGGGGAACTCTATACCACAAAAATGAAATCCATCACATACCAATACATACAATATTCCATTCTTAATATATTGTTGTATACATTTTCTAATAAGCGAACTCTCCACACAATTCCACAAGAGATATATATGTACACATATATTCAAATACTTAGATCATTATTAATCCTTAAGTTGAATCCCCTCACTCCAAAGGACCCAGCCTCAAATCTTTGAAAAGAAACCCCACTCATCATCTATAATCCAATTAAATCAGCATACATATATATCTCTCTTTTTTCTCCTTTAACAAAAACTCTCCACTATATATTTCTAATTTTACCAAAGAATATGTTTAAAAATTCGTCAAAAAACAATTCAGATCAATATCTATATTTAAACCATTCGGTTTCAATACATCTAATTCGTATATCCAAAACGTCTCCCTTTTGGATATTTCATTGATCATATCTATTCCTCTCCAGTGTTTTTTTACGCTTTCTATTCCATAAAAGGTTGCTAGACTTGGATCACTGTTATGTTTTAATTTAAAGTGTTTTGACACACTATGTTTATCGTACCCCTTTCTTATGTTGTTAAGATGTTCTCCAATTCTTGTTTTTAATAGTCTCCCTGTCCTCCCCACATACTGTAAGTGACATGGGCACTCTAACACATAAATTACATGGGATGAATTACATGAAATTAATGAATTAATCTTATATTCTTTTCCCGTATGTGTTGATGTAAAAACAAACAATATAGACAGGTGGAGAAAATTTTTTAAAAATACTGGCCAATACTGCTTAAAGATGAGATATTAAAAGAGATTATTCCTAAAAAAAAACCTAAATTTATATATAGGAAAAATAAGTCATTGAAGATGAAATTGGTTCACAATGTTTTGGACCCACCGATGAAAAAACAGTTCTTTCCTGAAATGCAGGGTTTCTTTAACTGTAATAAGTGTAAGGCATGCAAAACAGTAAAAAAAGATACTAAGAAAAAAAGAAAGAATTTTACATCAACACATACGGGAAAAGAATATAAGATTAATTCATTAATTTCATGTAATTCATCCCATGTAATTTATGTGTTAGAGTGCCCATGTCACTTACAGTATGTGGGGAGGACAGGGAGACTATTAAAAACAAGAATTGGAGAACATCTTAACAACATAAGAAAGGGGTACGATAAACATAGTGTGTCAAAACACTTTAAATTAAAACATAACAGTGATCCAAGTCTAGCAACCTTTTATGGAATAGAAAGCGTAAAAAAACACTGGAGAGGAATAGATATGATCAATGAAATATCCAAAAGGGAGACGTTTTGGATATACGAATTAGATGTATTGAAACCGAATGGTTTAAATATAGATATTGATCTGAATTGTTTTTTGACGAATTTTTAAACATATTCTTTGGTAAAATTAGAAATATATAGTGGAGAGTTTTTGTTAAAGGAGAAAAAGAGAGATATATATGTATGCTGATTTAATTGGATTATAGATGATGAGTGGGGTTTCTTTTCAAAGATTTGAGGCTGGGTCCTTTGGAGTGAGGGGATTCAACTTAAGGATTAATAATGATCTAAGTATTTGAATATATGTGTACATATATATCTCTTGTGGAATTGTGTGGAGAGTTCGCTTATTAGAAAATGTATACAACAATATATTAAGAATGGAATATTGTATGTATTGGTATGTGATGGATTTCATTTTTGTGGTATAGAGTTCCCCTTTATAAAGCTCATGATTAAGTGATTAGTCATTTTCAGATAATGATTTGATATAAAATATAGTTCATTCCTTTTTAATATATATTTTTAATATGTAGTTTATATGTTAAAACAAATATCGGATATATGTGATTGTAGGATTTGTGATATAATTGTATCTTTGCCAATTGAGCGGCGGTATATCATTATAGCGCCGCTGTGATTGGATAAAGAAATACCGCTGTGCAGAGTGCGAGCGGTATATATGAATGGAATTGACGTCTGAATCCATGCCGCTCCGTGAGGACGTCAGTGTGACGAAACGCGTAGGGCGGAGCCTATTGGATGACGTCAGGACGTTCCCGGCAACTGTCGGCGAGGTGTCCGCAGTGAACGGAGTTCGTTCGTTCGTTACATGCTTTTGTGCATCTCTATCGCTTGTTATACCAGTGTCAGGTGGACACTTGCTTTGTGAGTAATATGAATTTTAAATAAACATACATAGTTTTTTACGTACTGCACCATCATGCCTTTTCTTTATTTTGGAGTGATACTATCATGTGTTTGGAGGATGACCGCTGTATAAAAAGTCCTGGCCATATCGTAGAGTGGTTGCGGAGTATTGCTCCTGGTGCCTGGATTTCTAATTA